TCTCATCGAGGCCCCCTATTTAAGGCGTGATTAGTTAACGTTGTTCTGTTTACAATGTCGTGAATGTCGCTAAAAAAAGAAAGCGTGCAGGTGAAGGGAGAGGTAGCAGAGGCAAAATTACGTAACCAGATAGGGTGGATAAACGCTAACTTCGAAGCAGTTAACGCTGCTTTTGATGTCATCTCGCCATGTGCTTGTGTCATAATCATTCATTTAGCGGGGCTTGCGCTTACTCCACCCCAGAGGACCTTCGAAATGACAAAAGTGCGGCACTATCCCCGCACACGAAACGAACGGCGAGTCCTATACGAAAAAGGGGAACCATGAATTGGGGTCTCAGGTGACTCAGCGAATTCGACACTACATACATCTGACGCCTTCAGAGGCATGTTTCACCTATATTCTATGACGACGCCATAGAACCCTCACAGAATCTCGAGAGTGCCATGGCAAATTTGACTTCATCATCGAGTTCACGTTCGAAACTGCACAGGCTCTACAATGTATATGCATATTTACAATATAGACAAGGAGCCGTACTAGATAATGCCTCGTGGATGCTAAAGGCCGGAGCGTGTAAAACCTGCTCCACCCAATGTGTATAGAACGAACTGGTTCAGATCGACACCTGATGGCGATAGCCTATTTGCAGGCGACCGCAACCACAAACACTATGCACGCGTAATCCATCTATCAGGTTAGGTCCTCCTTCTCAGTCTCTCTCTCTTTTCACTTCAAGTTAACTTGCAGTGCTCAGTTCCTGTCTTAGGTAAGGTTGGGCCTAATCGGCATTCTTTGGACAAAAGGTCCTACCTGAAGTCTGAGAGTGTCACTGCAATAGCCGCCAACCTTTCCCCTCCTATCGAATAAGAGGCTGAACAGCTGCAGGCCTATTGACACGGTCAATTCTTCACTCGTACGTAACTACAAAATCGAATAAGTGGCTGCTCACCAATAGGTCGGTTTGACATTCATATTCAGTGTAGCTTAGATGCACGTATCTCGCATGCTCTTCAACAGGTATTAGGCAACGCCGTGGGTATTTTTCGATTTCGGCCTTTCAGGGTCTATCCGAGGCAAATCAATGTTCCATGAACTTTTCTCAGTGGAATAAGTTATTATTACGATTATTATTACTAATTCTTTGCTTTCCACTAACACGGATTTTTTTTTAAAATTTTTTAAGTTTTCACCGTTTGTATAACAATATGGCCTCGAGTTAACTAGGCGTAGGTATGGCCTAAAAAATGTGTGTGTTCCTCTACTTTAAAGATGCGATGTTATTCAAGCCGCAGTTATAGAGCTGTTCAGATCCTATATCTTTTATAATGATAATTGAGGCAGCTGAACATCCGATTATAGGTGCCACGTCTGCTGGTTCACGAAGTATGCGATAAAATAGAGAAGGTTGTTTACAATTCAATATTTCGGTAGGTTCAACTTTCTGCTGTGCCAAAATACTGAACTTTTGATTAATGAATTACCCAGCAGTTGCTACAACCCCGTCTTCTACTGTTCCGTTGAACGTAATTAGGACTACATGTTTGTTAGCTAAATTGTAAATGAAGGAGTAAAATAGAGCAGAGGATTAGCAATGATAAAATTAAATTATTATGGCCGCTTTTACAAGACGCTTTTGATCGGAGGATCATCTCTGCTACCTTACGCGCAGACGACTAAGTAATTTCTCCGCTCATTTGATGTCCAATTGACTCTGATAAAGATGCTAATTTTTGTAGAGTTACAACTGCGTAATTGTTGTAAAAACACATAGATTGTCAAGATGATACATAAAGCTAGAACCTCGAGAGAATTATGATCAAGCTCGACAGGTGACGAAGATGTCATTTTGTACCGTAACTAACTCCCGTAACGTTTTCCCGAAAAAAAATGACTCTATTCAGTGTGTGAAGCCATCGTTTCCTTTATGCACTCCTGTTACCATGGGTTCGCCTTTCTTGTCCATATCATCCAGTTCGGCCTGCTTTAAGCAGACTATGTCGTTTGCGGTGAGCTGCCGTCATATGAAACACAGTCCTTTAAGCTAACACGATGTCCACTCGTGACTATAGTTGTCACTCTTTCCTTCGCCTATACCCAGGTCGAATCAACTTCGATCACTAGTGCTCGCCATCAGTAGCTATGCGTATATTAGGTACACTCAGCACTATGTAGGTGTATACACTTATCGTATATATATATATGTGTAAGAGAAGCGTATGGATAGGTAGATACACGTCACGGAGGTCACAGGTGCGTTCCGCGACCAGTCAAGCGTACACAAAGTACCCACTCAAACGGCTCGACGGACCCCTCACGTCCTGTCAAAGAGCACCACAACATGCGCAGGCCGAAGCCTAGAGCATACGATTTATTGTAAAAGTCATGATACACTATCATATAATGAGACAGCATCTATTACCATGCGTAAAAAACCTGAGCTATTCGTATGTTTATCAACACTTTTGACACGCACACACACATATATAGGATCATTACAAATCATTTCGTTGCATAGTTAGGGTGTGTTAGGGAAAGCTCGCAATTTTCACAAAACTATAAGATATTCATCACAGTCTTTCCGTTACATTTCATCTGAGCTCCCACTAATAGTAACTGGTATAATAATTCTGTCTCAATATTAATTTATCATGATAATTGATTGGCGCTTAGTTAGGAATTGATTTATTTCGAATTGGATTGGATTAAGTTGCTAGAACAAACCGATAATAATAATAATAATGATCACTCCTCAACGCGCTGCGCTGGAGAACCGTGAAAGACAGAGAATATTTCTATGTCAGAGGCCTAAGGTACCCCTTTACATTGTGCCCCTTTTCCTTGCTGCCGCCGTCCGCCTCGCGTATCGCCTTCCGAACGGGTATACCCAGCCCAATCAACGTCAAGAATGATTGCTATTCATGTCGCATTCGTGTTGGCCCTGGTGTACACGCCTCTTGTAGCCTGTACATCCGCTGCAAAGTCCAATTGTTGATGTATCTGCACATCTATGTTAAGTGCCGCGTACACGCATGGATAAGGAACATGTTCATCTCTAAAGACTAAGAACTCGGGGATGAGCCAAAAAAAAAGTTCGACGAATTGGTCACATCGCAGTGGTCTTGTAGAGGTTTCAGGGTGAATTCCTTAGGACGTCATCTTCACCGAAGGACGACGTGATCTCAATGACGCTGCTCATACTACTAGCAAATGATCTGTGACCGCACGGCTTGCGGCCAGAGTAGGCCAGCAAGTACGCTGGAGACTAAGCAAAGGAGCGAGCCAGTTGAATGAACTAACGACACTACACAATGTGGTAGGATAGATCAAGGGCGGTCGTCTTCTGCCCTGTCCACCTAGCACCATGTAAAGAGCTGTGGCAGATTCGCTCACAAGCGAATCAATCAATTATTTACTGCTTCCACAATAGCTACTGCCTCGGCAACGAATATTATTACCGGCTCCTATTGTCCCAGCTGTTGCTACTAGCTATTCCTGCCGACAATGCCCAAAATGGTATAGGGAAAACTCGCAAGGCATCTCTGCAAACAAGGTACCGGAGCGAATTCGACGGAAACGTAGTCACCCTGCGTTCAAGGGGATCTAGAAACGTTTAGGTGAAGAAAAAAACATGATAGTTATAGCCAGTCGATCTTTGGAGCTTAGATACCCCTTTCCCGCCCCGCCGTTTTGGGTTATGTACGTAGGATATATTAAGATACCAATTTTCTATCAGTGTGCATGATTGACCGGCGCAATGGAAATTGGCGAATGGTATGTCATTATTGTAACGCTGATTTGCGCATGCTCCGTATATACTAGTTGACATAATTATTAACGTCATCTTGAAGCACCCCAGTTCTTCACAAATGTCCGTCTTGTACGCGACATATTTTGCTCACGGCTATTTGAAAAACGTACAGGCCTAGAAGTAAAAGCATACATAGACAACGAATATTCAAAATGGTTACTAGCAGACGATCTATTGAAAAGGAAACACTTCTAGGAGAATATCAATAGCCATGCCGATTTACTAAAAATGTTTCATGAATAATTCGGAGCTTGAATGATATGCGTTTAATAAAACTAGTTAGATATAATAATGAACTTAAGTTATCATTAACAATAGAAAATCTGTCTTTTTTAAGAATAAGCTTACATGAAGTTAACGGACGAAGCTTACAAGAACAGATACCAGGATTAGGTCAGTATTTTTTTTTCTAGGATGGCACTCAAGTTACAGTGTCCCACTAGGACTGATGTAACTGTGCTCGCATACAATGCGCTAGTAAAGTGAGAATCATTGAATTTTATACTTCCCGGATAATAATCCTTAAATACTGTAATTAACTTATCTTGGCTGCGACTATATTTCATTTTAGAAATACCTTTTGCGAACTGCGTATCGCCTTTTGCTGTATCGCTTTGCGCGTCTCTATGGATAGTTACTTCGAGCATTTACTTTTAAAGCTAAGTTACAGTCAGTTTCAGCTCGGAAAGTTTAAGTTTATTCCTCTAATACAGGGGTATGTTGCGAAAGAGCATTACAATGATAGGTTTACAGTCGTTTGAAGGACGTCCTGTACGGACACTGGTTATGCGCTAAAAAAAGAAAAAAGTGGATATTAATTACAAAATCTGCGACTCTGCAGGTCTATAGATTCTATCTATTTGCTTATCTCGGTATAGATCCATATGGGTCGACTATCGAAAACGATTATATTCATATATATATATACGTAGTTGGTATGATATGACGAACGTCCCAAATGCTATTAAATCAAATGGAGGTATCGAGCACGTTTAACGAAAAGTTATCGTTAAAGTTGTCGACGAAGGTACACTTCAAGCTGTAAGCAGCATATGATCGGCTGTGTTTGTAAACACGGGAAGACCTTATGCAATATACACAGTTGAAACTGGCAGGCATTACCTTGTAACTAATTAAACTAATGAATAATGTCAACAATCTCACTTCATCGACAGACTCAGTGACTCACCGGTGTTGCTTCGCCTACTGCTGCTGCTGTGGATATGAGAGTGATGATGATGGTGATTGTGGTGATGTCGATGCGGAGTCGTTAAAGCTTGAGTAGGTGGCTGAGCTGACACTGCCATTGGCGTTGCAGCTGTTGTTGCCGTCGTCGTCGTCTTCGTTGTTGTTGTCGTCGTCGTCATAGACACGGGATGTAGGCGGGGTGTCACTAACCGGAACGCGCTTCCCCCCGCTGTTGTTTCATCACTGCCGCCACCGTCTCCTCCACCGCTTGCAGATGTTGAACCCGCTGAATCGTCAGCTGTTTCACCGACTCCGTCCAACGAAGTCATTTTGTTGTGATCGTGTCTGGCTGTTGTTACTGTCGCTGACCGAACGTTCAGCCACTTCTGCTTCAAAGACGCTGTGAGAACAACGTGGGCGACAAGCACAAGACGGTTGTATGGGACACCGATTGATGGCACAGAGCGTGATGTCTGCTACGCATCCCTCCGCGCCACGGACGAGGGTGCTACGGAGTGCGCATCTCCTTTTCCCGTATTCGATCTTATAACTTACCTCCTGTCAACTAGATCTGCTACAACTTCCTTGTTTGCCAGTGCCGAACGCCTGATCCCGTTCTATTATTTCTATCTTCGTATAGTTTTGCACTTATCTCTTGATGACCTTTGTTGTTTACTCGATCTTCGGCGCCACTTTTACTCTCACCACTTACTCAGTTCCCTACTCAACGTACCTATTCACATGCAACACATATTGGAGCTAACTGACAACAACATCGATTGACGGCCTCTGTGGAATAAATTTTTGCGAGCGGAACGCTGTCCGCTCTTAGGCAGTGGATAATCACAGATGGAAGGGCACCATCAATAAACGCCGCTGTCGCCACCTGTCTTCTAGTTTACACGAACGAAGGGCGGGCGTCCGTTACCGTGTCGTATTGTCCTTGTAGAGCTGGATGGCTGGATGGCTGGCTTGCTCGCATGTGAATGCACTTCACTGGACAACGGCTTAAGCATGCGGCGATCGAAACGTCAACTTGGACTTCTTAATAACAACCGCCTTTTTCCCGGGTAGTTTATGTCAGATGCGGCCTTTTCACTGCTGTCCTGCGCCGTCTTGTCCGCGCGGCGCCGGGGCCTGCCGGGGAGGCGTGCGCTTCGAGCCAGGGCCTAGTTTCGAGTGTACTATAATGATAACTATAGGATGACAAAAAGTTTATTTTTTCGTCTTATTGTCATAGACAGCGGCGGTAGCTGGTTGGATGCTGCTGCTGCTGCTGCCAGTGATCGTCATCTTCTCGGCAGTTGCTGGAGGAGAGTCGCGGAGAGCGCACTGCTCTGAGGCTCCGCCTCGTTCGATCGAGGCCGCTCTCGGCCAATCGGTGGACGCCTTCCTAACCGCAGTCGGGCCAATCCGGGCGGCGCAAGCTCGGCTAAACCCGGCGCCACCTGGTACCCAAACGAACTAGACGAGAGCGGAACGTCAGCTACGACCGGACAGGACCAAGGCGAAGCCGGACTGGCTGGCCTGCCTGCCGGTCGGCCGGGAAGGGCCATCGTTCGCTCGCTCGCTCGGTCGCTCAGAATTGCGAACCCGGCCACCCCACACTCCAGCCGTATATCCTACACAGCCTCAGCTGCTGCTCTACGCAAATGCCTCAGCTTGGAGAGGCCCTGACCAGTGGCAGCGGCAACGCTGCCAACAGTAGCGGTGGCCGCCCCTTTCACCGGTTTTACACTTTGCGTGTTCGTCGTCTTACTGGCACGAAAACGTGAAAGAGAGACGGAGCGGAAGCCCTGCAGGCCTCAGACCCCAACAGCCCCGATACCGTTCCCCTATCCCTCGACTTGGCCGCTGGGCAGCACTATCAATGCTCACCATTGCGGCTGCTGCCATCACTGCCGTTGCTCTCATCTCGGCTCAGCTTTTGTCCATCTGCGTCCATCTCCCTAGACGCTTCTGGGCTTGCTATCCTGCGTGCGCGACTCCTTCTTCGCCGCCCTCCTTCCTCTCCTTTTTCGTTCATTCCTTCCATCGTCGCTCTCCTATTCGCTGTCGCTGTGCTCTCTCTTGCGCTGCTCTGGGTCCCGCTGGGGCCAGACCCCGCTCGTATCCCTCCATCTGTGCAGTTAGCTGCAGGCGGACTCTCGACCGTTAGCTCTTTGTCGGTTGCTTGCTTGTTGGGGCAGTCGCGAATAGTTGCAGAGAAAAAAAGGGGCACAGTCGCTAGCGTATAACAACCGCGTATCCTCCGCCATGGTATCGAAGCCAAGCGGGAAAGATCCCCGCACTTTGCCGAGATACTTCCAGCTTGCATCATGGATGGATCACCATCGCTCGGAGCTTGCTTGCTTGCCAGAGTGGATAGCAACTGATTAAAAAATCCTCTTCCACCAACCAGAGCCTGTGTCTAGCAACATCTCTGCCCTGCCGCAGCCATTAGTCACTTCGACTAAACGATCTAGGTTCTACATATTATATATAAACTGACAAGTATTTCACCGACGAACATTTGTCCCACTGTCGCTGTTTCATAAATCGCCATATAAGCGATAATAAAAATGTAGGAATAGAAAACGTTTTTAGAAACAACGTACGGTTGCGCAATCTGTAAGCAATGGTGGCTTTTTCAATAGCTGCCATAGATTGAAGTAACTATTTTTTAACTTGATTAAGAGACGGCTAATATTGAAACGATTCGCGTGCATCAAGGCCTGCAATTAACTACTAGGTTGTATGTTGCAGTACATTGCTACGCTTATTGAAACTATTATAGGTAGACCGAAACCAACCAGAATCAGTGTTAGCTTTCGGTCAGAGGCGGTAGTACTTCGCAACAGAATGTTCTACAACATAGCGATAACTGCAATCAGGCGGCTTTTGGGATTACTAGTTATGCACGGTGTTAATCGTACTGTATATGTTCTATTAAAATATTTCGTTTTTTTTTTTTCAGAAAGGAAACAAGGCTTCCCCCACTAGCCTTAGTGATGTAGTTACACAATTGCTTGTGCGTCATATTCTACATAACTGCTTGAAGTGTTTAATGTTCAATCGGGAAAACCACAGGCGCACACGTAAGTGTGTAGCCTTACTGCTTCGTTGATATGCATCAAATGAACGTTTATATCTGTACTCTGGCGTGCGTGCCTCAACCCGACTGAAGCCGTTACCAACAACGAGGCTGTAGTTTGTTTGGTCTTTGCGTACATTAAGGATATTGGTCATCCTTCCGTGCTCTTAAAACAAACGGGACTATACAGAAAAGTGTCATATTTTACATATGTGATACGTAATATCAATTAAATTACGGATAGATGCGAGCTTATTGCATTCTCAGATAGCTGTCTCTTTTGATACGATGCGATCACTCAATTAACTGAGTGTACCACAGCTAAACGAACTCGCCATTCTAAACAAAGGTGATGATGGATGGAAGAAAGTTGTCGACCATTCGTCTCGGCGGTACCATCGATTGAGCTTCACGTTTGTCGCGGCTTCAATCAAACAAAAAGTTTGTTGGATCAACCTCCCGGAAGAGCTGTGTACGGTGTTTGAATAGAGCAGCAGCATTAGTCCCACCTCGAGCCTTGTTCCTCACTCGTAATTCCAAGACTATATCACAGTTTATGAAATTGGACGACATATTTTGGGAGAGCATCGCGAATTTTTACTGGATTCAATCAACGTGCATGGGGGCCAACAACCCACTATGTATGAGGGGAGGCTCTACGAGATGAATCATAAGACTTCGAAAAGATATTTCTCTGAGTTACCTATGAGTTTTAAATGAGCTTCAAAATGATTTAGGCCTTAGAATTATATACAGAAAAATTTAGCAACACATTTCCTACCTCTTCTTAGCTAACACGAAACCTTTTGATCATGACACTTCCTTTTAAATAGTCACATCGTTTCCGTCCAATATAATCTAATACATTTGATCTGAAGTAAAAGAATCGTGGATTTGCATTGAAACACATTGACTATGGACCGCCCTAACACAATGACCTTGTGGCTATCTAGAGTATTAACAAATCGCCGCCAGCTGCTTGTTCATTGTACGTTAAGTTAAGCCGATACCAAATACAAGCCGCAAGATGTCGCCAGCGTCGCTAAAAAACGCCGTCTGTATTTGAAAAAAGAAGAAACTTTCATGTGTCTAGAGATAAATACGTACGCCTATCTATTGGGTACGCGCAGTTGTATCTAAAAAAAGTACTTCCCGTCGATGGAAAAGAAACACGTTGGAGGGCAATATTTATTCACAAAGCATAGCATATGGAGGAAGCAACAAAGGGTCTGCCACGAGAAGCTGCGGCAGTGAGGAAGGTTCACCAAAAAGAAGCACCTCGGACTATTGTGACGCATACAGGACACGGTGTCCTGTCATTGTCTGGCTTTTCATGGTAATATGCCCTCTATTTCTGTTCTTCTCGTCTGTCCTGCTTTCTTCTCCCTGCTCGCCGATGTAGCGCTAGATGGATCATCTGTCCTACGTCCGGGTCCTGAACTACAAGTTTTTCCGCTGTTCGATTAATCAGCACCCCGACTCCGTCCGGCGCTAGTTCTATCTCTCTTCCTTTCCCTCTCTTTCGCTTTGCTTCTGCTCAATCTTATTCTTTGTGAAACGTCGAGTCTACAGCAGCAGCGATGGCGATGACAGCGGTAGTGGTACCGCCGTCCGTGTCACCTTGATCTTATTCGTAACTTGCCCCCTACACTCTCTGCTCCCACCGATCGACCCCGAAGAGCTACAGATTCAGAGCGCGCATTTTGCTAAGTGCCCAGTAGCGCATCAGCAATGCTCCCACCCCGTATGGCTAATAGTCCGTCCCTGAAAGGAGTTACGTCCATCGTTACTTGTTCTAAATAACAGCACCGTCTAGACTGCTCTGCATTTATTGATGCTTTGTCTTCCATTCCGACCCATGACAACAGCTAAAGTAACAATAGAAAGAACGGCAGAAGAATGTTGGCTTCTTTTAATACTACGCTGCCCCTCTATGAAGTGTGAAATGTATAAAAACACGATCAAGGGACAAAGCATCTCAGATGATGAACACGTGTATTCCGATCTCGGAACAGAGGTAACCATGGGCAACGAACATGTATCCATAAAAGCAGAGTCATGAAGTTTCAGTCCAGCTGAAAACGTTAAAGTTCCTTGGCCGTATTTAGGTGAAAGAAAAAAGGTAGCTTTGGACAAGCGTCGTCAGAGCCGTCTGTCGATAGTTTTGGTTTGGCCAATGAGACGAAACACTATGCTTGATCAATGCTTTTAATGAATGAGTCATCAAGGGATCAAAGTGAACGCAGCTAATTGTATGAGTTTGCAAAATTCTAGTCAAAAACATGAATCGACAATATACATCTAACCCTATATAACATGAACAATATTCTGGAGCTCTCTATAGCTATAAGACTTCGACACCACCGCGAAACGAAATGCATCGATGCCCGGATTCGAACCTACGCCAGCACTTCTTCTTGAGTCTTTTACCCACTAGGTTACCACGGGGACATCATCTAACTAGCTAACAAGAGTGTGGTGGCAGCATAAGTGGCCTGATGGGTTCGAGAGTGTGATTCGCTATGCTGAATCTAATGTATATATCTAGCGTGGGTGTGTGTGGTCGTCAAGTGAGAGTCACCGACCGCTGAGATTGGAGCTATCCGCTCCGTCGAAAGGAGCGCGAGGGGGGAGAAATGGAGACGGCGCTGTGCAGTGATTCGAGGATTCGTTCGCTAGTCCCAGTCTCTGTTGTCCCAATGAGGAGGTGCATCGTCAGCCGAGTATGACAATACACTTCACATACTCTGTGGCACGATGGCCCATCGGGAGTGAGAGAGGTCGGGGCATCACTGAAGTAACAGACTGCTCTTAAGGGGCTGGCTGATTCCACATCAGCTTCATTCGCCGCATTAGTTGGGCGGGGCAAATCTCAGTAGAACTCCGGCTGACTGGCTATGCCCTCTGATGTTAAAGATACTACCAATGCTTACCTTTAATTAAAGGTTTGAGAAATTTTATGTATAATGGAACTAGTTACGGGGTTATCGGCAGTCCGAAGCAAGCGA